AGCAGCACCCCGTGCCATCAGCAGCACCCCGTGCCACCTCCACCTCCCTGTCCCCCCCGCAGAGCTCCGTCTCGCTGGGCAGCGACTTCGACTTCGAGGCGTCGCCGGGCAGCCAGAAAGGCGGTGAAGCCCCCAGGGATGCGACGCCGGAGCCCCCCGGTGTGGAGGTGGGAGTGGGGGTGGGGGGGGGCACGGATTGGGGGGCCCGTGGGGTGATGGTGCCGCTATGGGGCTGCATGGGGCTGATATGGGGCTGCTGTGGGGCTGACAGTGCCGTGGGGCTGATGGTGCCGCCATGGGGCTGATGGGGCTGTAGTGGGGTTGGCCATGGGGCTGCTGGTGGTGCTGTGGGGCTGACGGTGCCATGGTGGGGCTGACGGTGCCACTGTGGGGTTGATGGTGGTGCTGTGGGGCTGATGGTGCTGCTATGGGGCTGCTGGGGCTGCTGTGGGATTGACGGTGCCATGGGGCTGATGGTGCTGTTGTGGGGCTGCTAGGGCTGCTGTGGGGCTGACGGTGCCATGGGGCTGGGGGGTTGTGGAGTGGGGTGCCTATGGGGCTGATGATGCTGCCATGGGGCTGATGGTGCCACTATGGGGCTGATGGTGTAGCTGTGGGGCTGACGGTGCCATGATGGGGCTGACGGTGCCACCATGGGGTTGATGGTGCTGCTGTGGGGCTGACGGTGCCACCGTGGGGCTGATGGTGCCACTATGGGGCTGACGGTGCCACCATAGGGCTGATGGTGCCAATGTGGGGCTGATGGTGCCGATGTGGGGCTGACGGTGCCACTATGGGGCTGATGGTGCCAATGTGGGGCTGATGGTGCCGATGTGGGGCTGACGGTGCCACCATGGGGCTGATGGTGCCAATGTGGGGCTGACGCTGCCCCACGGTGCAGGTGCTGCTGTCCAGCTGCTCGCGGTGCCAGGGCTGCGGCTCGTTGGTGTACGACGAGGAGGTGATGGCAGGATGGAGCTCCGACGACTCCAACCTCAACACCACGTGTCCCTTCTGCGGCCGAGCCTTCGTGCCCTTCCTCAGCATCGAGATCCAGGACTTCCAGGCGCCCAGGTGGGACCCTGCTGGTGCCCGTGGTGCCCCGTCCTGCCAGCATCCCCTCCAGCCATCCCCATTATTCCCAGCTCTTCTGCTCCCGTCATCCCTGTCTCCTCACTGCCATCATCCCATCCATCCACCCCCATTATCCCCCATCCTTCCATCCCAGCATCCCCTCCATCCACCCACCCACCCACCCACCCACCCATCCACCCATCCATCCATCCATCCATCCATCCATCCATCCATCCATCCATCCATCCATCCACCCCCGTTATCCCCCACCCTTCTATCCCCATTCTCCCTCCTTCCACCCCATTATCCCATCCCTCCATGCCTCCATCCCTCCATCCCTATGTTTCCCCATCCTTCTATCCCCATTCTCCTGTCCTTCCACCCCATCCATCCCATCCATCCCTCCCTCCATCCATCCCTATTTTTCCCCACCTTTCTATCCTCATTCTCCCGTCCTTCTACCCCATTATCCCCTCCGTCCATCCCTCCATCCATCCCTCCCTCCATCCATCCCTCCATCCATCCATCCCTCCGTCCCTCCGTCC